CACGATCAAAGGGATTGAGGCGAGTTTGACGGAAATGTGCAAGTTTTTCATCATACTCCATTTTATTGGCTACATCTAAGAGAGACAAAAACCAATCAAAGTGACACACAGGCAGTCAAATTCACTTTCCTGATCTTGATAGAGTTAGTTTATAGTGGAAGCTGGCTAGCTAATGTGCCCACTTGCTAACTGTACAAAAATGTCCTGCTTCTTTAGAAAATACCACGTCAGTTAAACCCTAATTATGATTTCAACAATCCAGAAAACTAAAGTAGTAAAGTATGAATGCTTTAGATTCATAGAACTGCATGGGTGGTACCGTTATAGGTGTCTGTTAAAATTGTTAAAAGCTCAATCAAAGAAGGAATGACTAAAAATGAATGGCAATGACAATGCTTGTCATACCAAGAACTAATTTGCATGTGTTCTCTATTTCTTCTCAGAATCTGCAACAGGCATGAGTTCAGAAAATGAAAAACAGCTTAAAGCTTGGAGTCAGTGCAAGTAGACGCTTCATCACGTCATTATAACCAATCAGGACTCCAGCTGAATGGTCACCTAAAGCCACACTTCACATATTACTGCCGAAAATAATCTTGAGCATTGAAAACAACAGGTTTCAGCCATCCTACCACCATGAAATGGCAAATAAACACCACCCCGGCTAAGGCTAACGAGCTAACCAGCTTCAAAAAGGCAATGCGTTCTTCTGTTGTTTTGATACCAAGAGAGAGTGTGTATAAAAGCTTACCCCGTTCTTTACCGTGTCAACATCAGACAACAAGCAGCTGGTAAGGCGTATTTTGTAGCGCCTAATATTAACATGGGCAGCTCTCGGTGTGTTGTTTTGCCCCTGTCATCAGCAACATCACACGAAGTGTAAATTTACCTCAGTTTCAACAGCTGCTTCCGGTTTGTTTCCTTCAGAATAAAATCCTTCAGCGAGCATCTGAGCGCATTTGATGTGAGTTGCGGTGTCAAACTCCGGTCCTCCTCCTTTTAGATGTGCCTCTGCTGCACCTCACCTGAATAGAATAATTAGCAAGGCTCTGGAGAACTGATCTACACAAGGAGGAGATAATTAAGCCATTTCATTCCAGTGTTTTGTACCTGCTTTGGTTTAAGTACAATAACTAAGTTTAAACTGATGTTTTAAGCTTTTATTTTGAAGTTTTAACATTTTCAACCCCCAATCCTTCCAATAAAATAGTTGAAATTTGCTTAGTGGTTTCTTCACTTCATCCTATCCTAGAATAGCCAAAAAGTTCCTGCTGAATTTACTTTGAAATTTCATTGAGGCTCAAATAGAATAAAATAGACAACAATCTCTGATTGTCTCTCATGGGGAAATTCATCAGCAAGTCTTGTTGGTAAAAAGAAAAAGAAACTTGCACTCACGTAGGATTAACTTTTTAAATTGAAGAGTTTTAGCTTTTTCAATTAAACAGAAATTTGGAATAAGACAGAAAAATAGTACAGTCATAACAATACTATAAAATAACATTAACAATAACAACAACAATAAAACTAGAAGAACAAGAAAGAGGGCATGGAAAGACTATAAACTAAGACATGCACAGACATTTTGATCCTGAGATGCAAAGCCATGTTAGACTTAAGTCAGTATTTGTACAACCTGCTTTTTAGCTGTGTAAAAGAAAGCAGAGACCAATCATCCATTTTCAGATGATGTATTGAACAGTGTTCTGTGATTTTTCAAAGCTTTGGATATTGTTTTATATTTCCGCCCTACTTCAAACAATCTGCTGCGTTCCTTCATGACCGGTTGGTGTCTAATGGTTCACAGAACAGCTTTGTAAAACCAAAAGAAAAACACAGAGGCATCTTCATTTTCATTTCATTACTAATGAGAGGTCACTCCTTTGGATAAATATGGGAATTCCCCCTAAAAGTAGACACTTGGACCACGAGAGCATTACCAAACTGTCTAATTCCAGCAAAGTATTTTATCTTGTCTTCTTTGATCATGCCCACCACCTACGTACAACAACGGCTGTCTTGTAAATTTGAACACTGCCTAGGGATCATTTGAACGTGTGAACATTTTTCACAAAAAGCCAATGGCCAATTGAGTTGAATGACATTATTCAGTGACTTTCCAGAGAAAAAGACCCCTACCTTGAAACAGTTTGGAGTTTCCTAGAAACAGTAATCATGAGGGCGTCATGTTGACGCTTTAAACACGAAATGACAGTAAATATAAGCATAATTAACTGTGAAATGTACCATTTGTCGGCTAACCTAAAAATGATTTAAGAAATGGTACAAAAGATAAAGAAACATTGTGGAAGTTCACACACATAGTGCCCAATATAGGTCTAACATAATATTTTTTTTCTAGAAACAATTAGTGTTTATATGAATAAAGAGCTGTTAAGAGCAGCAAAAAAAAAAAAGAAAACTTTATGAAAAAATGTAATCAAAAGCTTACATTATAATAACTATTCTGTAAATGCTGTTCATTGTACACATCGCTCTTCATGATCTTAAAATCTTTAAGTTAGCAGTATGGAAGTTAATTGTGACTATTAGTTTTTTGTTGTATTTATTTTAAATGGAGAGATTTGGTCTGTGCTACGAACAAAGCTGTGATGTATGGAAGGAAGAGGAAGTCATAATTCTGCCTAACTCTGAGCACGCCGCTCCCCACGCAGTCACACTCTGCCCTAATTTAGTTTGATTAGATATAATTAAAGTCAAGTGGCCTCGCCACATCAGATCCACTATTAGGTTCATATGAAGAAGAAAACTTATGCAAGTTTTCATAATGTAGTACATGTGTACTACATGTACTACATTATGAAAAGTAGTGATAAAGTGACATAAAGCACTCAAGATGTGGTTAAAAGGTGAGTTTGAAGGTTTATTAAACACCCAGTAATCTCTCATCTGCATATAATATAAAATGAATATTTTTGCAGTTTTGTGACCAAATGTGATCTAATGTTAAGGATGATTAATTGTCGCCAGTGTTGAACAATGTGTAGTAGTTGCATATTGTTACTCTGGATAAGGACATTGCTATCCTGTTGCTCTCTTCTGGGTTAGAGAGGTCTACAAATATCCAATGGTGACCCATTTTAAGATTCCAAGATTACTGGCAAAGACTTATAGATCTTTAGCTAAAATGTCCCGTATTTGAAAGAGTCCATGGCGCCATGAAGTCCAGAAAATTTTCTGGGGCTTTTGGAAGAGAAACAGATCCACCGGATCACAAATAGTCCAGCGGGCATGAAGTGGTTTTCCACAAATCATCCTTTGTTTCATGTTAAACCTGCATGAAGTTTTTACTCTGAACTTCTCAATCTGACTCTCATCTGACTAAAGCATACAGTTCCAGTTCACATCGCAGTGTTTTTTTTTTTAGAAAAATCAAAAGTTTACATTTGTGATGGTAGGAGAGAAAATAACCTGTGCGGACATGGAGACGAGGTCTAACAGTTATTTGGAACGTTGATGACCCAACATCCAACTTTTTGCCTCAGTTTCTTGGTTTTTTGTTCCTACTTTACCATCCCAGTCTTAAAGCAGTAAGATGATATGTAAGCATGTGAAGATAATGTTCTGGCTTCAGAGGACCCAAAGAAAATAACGTTTTGGCGTTTTGTGGTAAATTGTGTGCATTTCTTCTCAAACACAGTGTTGAGAAGAAAACTTGTTCCAAAAGATTCAGGACAATGACTCTCAACATACAACCAGAACTGATATGAAGGGCTTCATATTAAAGTATATAATGTTTTGGAATGACCCAGTCAGAGAATCATAGCAAAACTTGAAAACTGATGTCCAGGCATCATACATCCAATATTTTTAATCTTGAACTATGTCACAGATGGTGAATGTCAAAATTTGCAGCAGACATGCAAAGCTGGTAGAAATATCCCACAGAATGGCAATTCTGTTTGCAATGAAATGTACCTTCACAAAGCATCATCTATGTCAGGCCCTGCAACATAAAGTATGTGAAGACTCCTTGGAGTAAATGAGGCTTTGTTTTGGATAAATCACAACACATTTATAATTGAACTTTTTTATTATGAAAACAATAAGAGTAGAAAAGTCAACTCTCTTTTTTTTATAATAGTGTCACACTGACCATTTCGCACATAAAATAGGAAAAACTACAGCTTTCATCAGAAATATGTTACACCCAGAGACACGTATTTGCAAGTTTACATACAACAAAACAATCTTTAGAGGCCCTGAAATGGCAATGATTGCTGTATAATCAAACATAAACAATAAACACTAAATGACTAATGACTAAAGACACGTCATTTCTCTTAAAACATAATTTCTCATCTCTTTTCCAAGCCTTACATGTAGAGAATGGATAATTCGAAACAGAAAGGCGCCCCTTTGCTACGAAATGAACTAAGGTTTTGCTTAGTCTATTTGTACAGAAAGTTTAGCTACATTTTTTTTTCCAGTTAGTATTATTAATAATTTCTATTAACGTGTTTATTTTAGGAACAGGTGTAAGAAAAACATATAAGGTAAGATGGAGGTTTTGTTGTGTTAAAAAAAATATGCTGAGGCATTTCGATTTCATTGGCTACAGTGACGAACTAAAAGGTGTAAATACGCATTATTCAAGTTATCGTCTGTAAACCTAAAACGTAAATTGAAACTTTTGAAACGGCAAATAAAACTTCAGAACAAAAAGCACATAAAATAAAGAAAATAATCACAGCTTTACATTGAATTTCACTCTGAGGCCAATATAATAATAATAATAATAATAATAATAATAATAATAATAATATTCACTAGCAGACTAAACTCAAATCCGGAACCTCCGCGTCTTTGTAGTTTTCCGGGAATCACGTCGCCAGAAATACATCCAGCCTAACTTTGATTAAGCCTCCTTTCATAAACGTCCCATGCAGTGAGCCTCGGGCGTTGGGATGTTCATGTGATTTTTTTCCCCCATCAGTGTTTTTTGTTTTTGTTTTCTCTCTCTCTCTCTCTCTCTCTCTCTCTCTGGGTCTCATTCGCACTTTTATTTTTGGAGAGAGTTGTTGACTGCAAGCATTGTTTAAGAAAACAAGATTTCTGGAGCTGAAGGATCGTTTCAACAAGGCGCATTTTGGGAGGCAATTTAATCCACTACCTTTATTGGAACCACGATTTATTGAATCATCACAGTGAATAAACTTTGTCTTTTTCGAGAGAAAAAAACAAAATAGTTTTTTTGTTATGTAAATCATGAAACATCCCTTAATATTTCTTCTTTTTTTTTAAGATTTATGTATTTGGGGATATTGTACATTATTGAACATTTTGAACAACACAAATGTAAATTAATTACAGCCAAGGTCAATTTCTATTGTTTGCTGAAACAATAGAAAAGCTGAAAGATGTTATTAGTTATTATAATAGAGATAATATTGTTGATTATTATTATTATTATTATTATTATTATTATTATTACTGAGTTGGTTATTAATTATAGTAAAATACCATGTACTCTTCTAGTATTCGTCCTTCGTCGTTTTATTTTTTCCTCCCTCCATTTTTACCTCCTTTGATACCATACACTCTTGCATGTGCATGTCTGTTTTATGTTTAGTTGGTTTGTAAATTATGGAATTGAATAATCATAAAGATATTTCACGCATCTGCGGATCTGATCCTCGTTCTGGCCTCTTACATAATATTGCAGATTAAGATCCCGAATAACTGACTGATCAGCTGGTGGATCTTTCTTTCTTTCATAAAATTTTGAAATCTAATATTATATTTTCTTGCAGCATAAAGAAAGGCACTTTAAATATCTGATTGTCAAACGAAATAACGACACAAATGATCACAGATAATATTTTGTTACTCGCCGCCTAAATTCTAGGCAGCTGTGACCTTTTAGCTGTCAAATATTTTACTGGATTTTGATATTTAATAATGTAAAGTTGAATGACTATTTTCGTTAGTTTTTTTTTTTTTTTAAGTCCATGTTCAGAGACGTTTTTTTAAGCAACCTGACAAGATCTCTTGAGTTGTCTGACATCCTCTTGTCAAAGAAAAGGCCCTGAAGTCTTAAAGTATTCAGCATCGAGCGTTCTCGAGCAACAATGAAACGGGCAAAATCTCCCAAATGAAACTAATCCCAACTCCGTGCTGGCATTAGTAAACGTCTTCATAAGATTCCTCCTTCATCTTGTAAGTGCTGCGTGCAGCTCTGAGACCAATCCGCCCAATAAAACCTTCACAGAGAAACAGTTCTTCGGATAAAAGCTCGCACGTTGACCTAATTTGCCTCAATTTGCTTACGTGACTTAAACGGCCGCTTACATGCCGAAGCACCATGAGCACAGGACCAGCTCCTGCAGGGTTTTACGCAGCTCCTGGCTCCTGTAGGCGTAGATGAGCGGGTCGATGAGGGAGTTGCAGATGATCAGGATTAGAAAAAGGTTGAAGTTCCGGAAGAAGCAGTTGCAGAAGGGACTGGTGGGGCAGGCGAGGATGAGGATGAGGTGGAGGAAGAAAGGCCCCCAGCACAGAATGAAGACGCCGAGCAGGATGGTGAGGGTGATCGCGCCCTTCATGCTGGTGGACTGGCGCCTGCCTTTGTGAAACGCTGTGATGCGCCGCGAGTGCACGTGAGCCAACACGAACATGTGCAGGTAGAGCGCCGCGTTGAACACCAGGGTGATGCAGAAGAAGGTGACCAGGCACACGATGACGGCGTTGTCGGTGTGGTACACGATGAAAAGGATGCTGGAGATGACGCTGGCCAGCCACACCACCGCGATGATGGCGACGGCGCGCTGCGTGGTCATGATGCTGTGGTAGCGCAGCGCGTAGAAGATGGTGATGTAGCGGTCCGCGGCGATGGTGCACAGGAAGGAGAGCGAGGACACCACGGAGCTGCAGATCATCACGTCAATGACGTTGTCCAGGTGGCGCAGCATGCCCGGGTGCACGTCCAGGAGGCCGTGGTCGTTCAGGAGCATGAAGATGGTCTCCACCACGTTGCTGACGCTCACCAGCATGTCGGACACGGCCAGGCAGCAGATGAAGTAGTACATGGGCGAGTGCAGGTTGCGGTTCCTGATGATCGCCAGGATCACCAGGATGTTCTCCACCAGGCTGATGATGCCCAGCGCCAGGAAAAGCTCCTGCGGGATGCGGATCTGGACGCAGCTCGGCAAGCTTCGCTCGCCGAGCGTGGAGTTCGTCTCGTTCTCGTCCATGATTTCACTCAGCGGGTTGAACTCCACGTGGAGATAGCGCAGGGAGCTGTTGCTGAAATCCATGTCGGAATTCTGAGTAATGATGACGGGCGGACTTCAGCTTACCTGGAACGACGGGGGGAGACTAAGTTTCATCAGTCCATGGGAAGATGATTGCGCATCGGCTGCTTCAAATGTGTCCTGTGATCCTCAGGCAACTCGCAAATCGCTCGGAAGCTGGTCCCAACAAAGCTGAGTTTGTCCAAACGACCGTAAGACCCAGGGAGTTCTCAGCTGTGAAGGCAAAGTAAGGAGAGACGGCGCGTTTGTCCATTTGAAAAATCCGTCTCCTCTTCCAAATTCTCCCCACCGTCATCGAAACAGCTCCACTTGGACAGACGTCCACGAATTATCCACGAACGCCTTTCTCTTGTCCGTCATGATTCTTAGTCTTTGCGCATCCGACCTGCTGGAACCATCCAATCCGTTCTGGACAACACAGTACAGAAGGAAAACTGGAGACGTCTGTTCGAGATGGAGAGTGAGCTGCTTGAGTCATTTTGAAAATAATCCTGAGTGACTTTACCAAACTCCTCCTCTCATACAGACGTCAGTTGGAAATGTGGTCCTGTCTCAGAGTTTGGATTCAGCGATGTTCAGTGTTATGTAAAATATTTATATCTTAACAAGGACATTAACAAGAAAGCTTATTTAAAAAAAATAAAAAAATAAAAAAATAAAAATAACACCAAGCAAATGCTGTAGTTCTGAATTTTACTCTCAACAAGAGATCGTCACAGAAGACTTTAACGCATCTGAAGGCTGCAGTTTACCAGAGATAAAAGCTTTTATCATCCTTCCAAAAGATTTTACAACGTATAAGAATTCAAAGCAATATCCTTATTTCATAAAACGTGACAACTAATTTCCAACAGAACCTGCTTTATATGTTTTAATTGGCAGTGTTTTGCTGTGGAGCCTAAAGACTCTTCAGTGTTGGAGGATTTTGATAAGTGAGACATGGCTTTCTGCCCAGGGCATCTCGACCCTGTGGGTGACACACGTACTCAAAGGAAAAGACGGATAAGATGGAAATTTAAAATACTTTCACCGGTGTGAAAGTAACCACTTGAAAGTGCTGAATTAAATCAGTCAGAAAACGTCGGTGTTCTCACTAATACAATACAAGCTGCTGAATTCTAAACATTTAATTATATTTGATGGATTTTGTGGATTAGGGATAACAAATAATAAAAATGCAAAGTTCAGTTTCGCAAAAAAACACTTTGGGAGGGGGCTGATACAGAAATGCTGAGTCATGTTATTGCCAATACAATGTAAGGGAATGCTGCCAATTTAACAGTCATCCAGCAGACAGCTGTCAATGTTCTCCAGAAAGTTCATACCTAGAAAAGATCTACTTACGCATATTAATGGAAAATTTAGTAGAAGGAAAAAGTGTGTACACGCCCACACGAACGAAACTGCAAATATGACAGGCAATAATTATGGTGTCACTGCGTTTTACTGCCCAACATTATCGTGAGTGTGTATTTAATCAAAACGTAGGAGAAAAAAAGAAGAAGGGAAAAAAACACAAAAGCTCAAAACTAATGAGCTAGAAGTGAACACGTCTCTGAACTAGGTTATTTTCTTCTGCAGGAGGTTTGACAGGAACACCACAGCATGAGGCAAAGTCATGATTCAGTCAAATTAAGTTATATTTAGACCCTCTGCTCCCTATCAGAAATGACAACATTTTCCTCCAGAGATAAATATCTGTATAAACAGCCTGACCAGACTGAAACAAATAGTGAACAAAACCAGAGATAAATAAGCATAATTTATTGTTGTGGTGCTGGGAGGAGCAGGGTTCTGCTCTCATGCAGAGAAAGCCTTCCATGGGAAAGCACCGAGCATCTCGGCAGAGAGGAGAGGAAAATATTCAGTTTGGTAATCAGTTTAACAAATACAGAAATATCTGCAGTTTCACAGGCTTGTGTTTAACCTAATGGACTGCAGATGGAATAAGTCGGGGGGGGGGGGGGAAATAAAATAAAATGCTTGTAAATTGACCTAGATATAAATGTTACTCTGACAAAGCGGCATTGTAGGTGGATTTCAAGGCAGAAGAGGAGCTTAAATAAGATACAAGTGGGGGGGGGGAGGAATTCAACCACAAGAAGGTTTCAGCAGAATTTCTCTTCTTTTCGGACATTTCTCCAAGTTATTTTTTTTTTAAACTTTCGCTTTGGTGCATGATGATCTCCAACTGAAAGTTTTCCTGGCTCAGCTTATGTATTGATCTGTGTCTCTTGAAAAAACAAGAAGCTTAAGTGTCTCCCAATCACTCCTTTTTTCACATGATCATCACAAATTTCAATTCATCTTATTAGGTTTTATGCAATAAGCCATTTTGTCCCATTGTGCTTGCTCACTATGAAGGATTGCATGTTGTAAAACAGTCAAGGACTGTAAATCAGCTAATCTGGGATTAGAAGTCCCTCAGTCTCTCTGTCCATCTGCATGCTTCACTGTGGAGATGCTGTGCTCAGGATGAGTTTCCCACCTCACATAGCAATTTGCCAGAAAGTTCAAGTTTGTACTTGTCTGACCAGAAAACCTTTTTTTTATTTTTCAAACATTTGCTGCAAACTGCAACTAGGACTTCCTACAACTTCTAAACTTCTCCAAAGAACCTGCACAAAGCTGTTAAAACGCTGAGCAGTCAATAAAGTGCTTTTGTTACATAAAACTGATTTCATTCATCAATTTGTGTTCATATTCACCTAAACTCAAGTGAAACAATGTTGTTTTTGTTGTGTTAGCTTAACATCCTAATCATAACTGACTGATTGGATTAAACAAATGAGCATTTTATTGAATAGAAAATTCCATGTTTGGAAAGTGAAGAATGCCATTTGCAGCCTGATGGCAATGATGGTTGAACGGAAACAATCGTGTTTCTTTTCCCCATTAGTTTTATTCTATTGTTTTAATGCAGATTTTGAACCAAACTAGATAGAAAAACTGGTATAGGTCTGGTTTTATTCAAATTTATTTTTAAAGAACATAATTTGACAAAATCTTTGACTAAAATTATTAATAGCCAACACATGGACCCCAAAGGGCCAAAGATTGGAAGACCACTGTTCCCTGATAAAAGGTCGTAGTTCCTTTCCACTTTCACCACATGCTTGCTCATTATGAAGGATTAATGTCTTGATTTGAATTGAATGTGGAAAAAAATAGATTCTGTATTTGGATATGAATTGGGCCCAGTAGTTTTAGAAATCACTTGAGATTCACTTAAAAATCGGGTTTAAAACAAAAAAATTCAGTAAATTCAAACAAAAACAATGCTACCAAAAATGAATTTATTGATATATTTATGTCCTCATACAGATGCAGTGTCAGCTCTCCCTTACAGCATAAGCTTTTATTGCACTGTTCCTTAATAAATTTTCTCTGCATACGTTTCAATAGATGTTTCTTCATTAAGTTTTTTTTATTAATTAGTGTATTTAATGAGAAATAAAACTGTAATGAGTGAAAGGTGGACTTGATTATTTAAAGAAAACAGATTAAATATTTAATTAATGTTCCACAACCAATATAAACATTTTCTCTGCTTCATGTCTTGCAAATAATATTTTTTCCACTATAAGAATGAATTGCTTTTAAATTAGATTTTGAAGCTGTTATGTATAACCGTAGTTAAACATAATTGTTCTCACAATAATAAAAGGAGTTCATTTTGTCTGCAAACAAAAATGATCTGAGGAAGAGAAAAGATGCCTGTTGTCATTAATAGATCAGTGAAACTCAGACATAATAATTTACTTCCTGTTTGTTTTCTGGGGTTGCAGGTTCCCCTCGTTCGAACAAATTAAAATTTTCCTTTCTGGACAAATAAAAAAAAAAAAAAAAGCACAATTAAGATGTCCAAGTCCAACTTGCTCATAACCGTAAGAAAATATCCTCTGTTTTTATTTCAACTCTTTGCATCCAACACTGGTTTGAGCGCTGCTCTCAGTCCCATTCGTCCTCGTCCCTGTAGGGGTTGTCCTCTCTGGGCGGCTCCTGGAAGCGGATGTTTGCCAGCATGTCCCTCATGGCCACCATTAGACGGTTCACCTCCTGGTTCAGCTCCTGGCCGGCTCGTGCTACTTCCATGTCATCCTCCTGTCTCAGTCCGCCCTGAAAATGAGGGGGAAAAAAATAAAGATCTTCATATTTTAACTAGGAACCAGCTCGATTATTCTCTATTGGTGGTTTTTGTAACAAAAAAGATCTTAATTGTGTCCTATCTAACAACATGTAAAGAACATCCAGACTACATATATATTACCCTCTACATTATTACTTTTATCCATATTATATCTCTTCCTCTCTTTAAGTAGATAATAATATCAGGAAGGATGCAGATGGAAACAGGCAGAGGGCACGTCTGTTTACTCATGTTCAGCTGACTCGCAGGATGCTCATCTCTACAGTGTTTAGCAAAACTATTCATACACCTTTAGCATTTTTAGCAGAACACGAACACTGCTCCTCGACCTGAATACACCGCTCCTGTGGTAAAACATGGTGGTGGCAGCATCATGCAGTGGCATAAGATATTTTTCTTCAAAAAGGCAAAAGTAAGACTGCAAAGCTGTTAAATAAGGCTGTTTAAATAACCAAGTATAACTAAAATACTTTGAGTTTTGTAATTGTAACATGTCAAAGTTTAGT